CCCCACACTCATTTATTTATTTTAATACATGTCAATGATTATGTTTGTCCTCCCATTGTCTCTCTCTCTCTTCTCTCCACTCTTTTTTTTGTGAGAATGAAACTAGTGAATGAAGAACAGAAGGAAGATGAAAGTGTGAATCTGATTCAGCAGAGTGAACAGATGTTTGACATCATGTCGACATCAAATCAACGTCACCTCCGTCACCATGGTGATGTAACACCCAAGCAGAGACGGGATTATTTCGGATTACTGAGGATTCAATCGACAGATTAATACCACGAACGTCCCCCTCAGTAATAATCTGTCATTGTTAAAAACTCTCACTTTGTATCAATGAGTCTGAATGAACAAAGAGAAATGTGAAATGCAGTCTGGGAAACTCAGCAGGTCCAGGTTTACTTCAGGTCATCTGGCACGAATACAGATGTACAGGTCTTCAAGGCCCAGGGTTCAAACTCACCTTCTCCACAGGTGAGACGGTGGGCGGGATCGGCCGCTGATCCTCGGAGTCCTCCAGCCAGTTTCTCCGAGCGAGTTCCTCCCACTCTGCCTGCATCTTATCCCAGAACTCAGTGTCCGACTGAAAAACAGGCTCACGTCAACCAAATCCACATCAGCATGATTTCAAACAACAAAATGTTGGGCTTTTTTCATTGTGTTTTTTAATAAGGGTCTCATAAACTGATCCTGCAGAACCGGACTAGGTTCAGATCAGTTCCTTTGAGTCGAATGATGCAGGATCATGGATTTGTTCTTACAGAACCTCAGTTCCACAGCTTGAATTCAGAGCCTGTCAGAGCCAATCAGCTTCATGATAACATGAGAGTTCTTGACTTGGGAAGTCACAGTGACCTTTGACCTCTGACCCCTGAAATCGAATACTTAAGTCAAATATTTCAGTTAAATAAACAGAAGGTTCCTGTTGATAAATGTTCTGACGCCTGGTTTCTGTGTTTTCTCTGACCGACTGTAAACGTTTCACTCTGACCTCGTCTCCGAGGATAAAAACATCAGGAAGAGGTTTTAATCAGCGGCTCATCAATCAGAGCGGACGTTGTGATTGGTTGACAGAGGATTGAAGAGCAGAACATCACAAACTCATCCACACCAATCAACTCAGATGATGTGTGTGTGTGTGAGTTTGTGAGTGTGCGTGAGTTTGTGAGTGTGTGTGAGTTTGTGAGTGTGTGTGTCAGTGTGTACTTCGACAGCAGCCTTAGCTCTGACAAACTCGTCCTCCTGAGACTCGTTTCTGTTCAGAACGCAACGAGTTCGTCTTCGCTGTCTGGACGCCCCACAGTCCTAAACAAACAAACACACACACACACACACACACACACACACACACACACACACAGACACTTGTGAGAGTCGTTAAAAGGCAGCTCAGGTAATACAACTAAAAAAGTAGTACTATAGTGTGAGTAGTGTTACTGCAGTAGTATTACAGTGTGAGTAGTGTTACTGCAGTAGTACTACAGTGTGAGTAGTGGTACTGCAGTAGTATTACAGTGTGAGTAGTGGTACTGCAGTAGTACTACAGTATGAGTAGTGGTACTGCAGTAGTACTACAGTGTGAGTAGTGGTAGTACCTGTGGTGACGAGGTGAAGCTGTGGACGCTCTTCGTCCCTGGATCAGTCTTGAACTCTGCCGACCTGCAGCAGGAACATACAGAGCTGTTGTTAGCGTTAGCACCACCTAGAGGCAGCAGTGATCACTCCAGCAGAGATAATGATTTTTACCACAGCAGTTCACTGGAGGAGTGATGGGAGGTGCATCTATTCTCATGTGTCCTCCTATGTCCTCCGTCCTCCACGTCCAGATTCACCTCATTCCATTTGTCCAGAGGAGACGACAGACTGACTGTAACCATGACAACGAAACGATGAGTAGCAGGAAGTTAGTCTCATCAGAGTAAAAGCTCAGATTAAAAAGCTTTTAACAAAATGAGCGGGGGCGGGGTTCCCTTACCTGAGTCCAGTGACATCCGCTCAGGTGTTGTGTGTCGGACGGGCAGGTGATCCACCTCCACCTGGATCAGCTCTGTCTCCTCAGGACATGCTCGGCGTCGAGGACTCATCGAGCTGCCCTTCCTCCTCAGAGGACTCCTCTTCCTCCCCCCACTGACCTCCCCCGGCTCGCTGAGGTCCACGAGGTCCAGAGCTGTGGACAGAACTGATGGACAGAAAGAGGGACAGGAGGATGGGCAGGAGGACAGTCAGGAGGATGTTATATTATTAAGATTTGAAACATCCCGTCTCAAAAGGACGCTGAGAAACTCTCTAGACTAGATTACTGTCCAAAGTGCTGCAGCAGAGTGCTGACAGGAAGTAGAAGGACAGATCATATTACTCCTGTCTTCTCTACATCAGCTCCCTGTAAAATCCAGAATATCAAGATCCTGCTCCTCACATTTAAACCTTAACAATCAAACCTTCATACGTCAAAGAGCTGATAACACCGTGTCATCCAGAAAGATCAGTTCACTACCAAAACACAGGTTCTCCTGTGGTTCTAGAGTCTGTAAGAGGAGAACAGGAGGTAGAACCTTCAGCTACCAGGCTCCTCTCCTGTGGAACCAGCTCCCACTCTGGGTTCTAGAGTCTGTAAGAGGAGAACAGGAGGTAGAACCTTCAGCTACCAGGCTCCTCTCCTGTGGAACCAGCTCCCACTCTGGGTTCTAGAGTCTGTAAGAGGAGAACAGGAGGTAGAACCTTCAGCTACCAGGCTCCTCTCCTGTGGAACCAGCTCACACTCTGGGTTCAGGAGTCAGACACCATCTCTACATTTAAAGTTAAATTAAAACGTTCCTTTTTGATAAAGTCTATAGTTCTGGATCAGGAGAGTCCTGAGGGAGATTTCCCATCATGCACTGAGTGCTTCTCTCCTTCATTCTGTCTCTCTGCCTCACTTATTTTTTACTAAATGTCACTGACTTCGTGTGATTATTATCATTGTTTTCATGAAAACAACTAGTAAAAGCTGAATCTGATGATGCACCACTGCCTCTCTCTCTCTCTCGCTCTCTCTGAGTATTAAATAAATAAATAAAGTTCACTGCTCATTGATTGTTACGCTGTTTAACTGGTATTTATATCAATTACTAATAAGTCAAATAATCAATTAAAGGAACTGATGAGATTTGATCACAAATAGAACAGCAGCGTTCAGCCGTCCACATACTTTAGGCCACATTGATTAATGAATATGAGCTGCAGCGGTCACTGTGACCTTCATCACGCTGACACTCGACCACAGTTTGATTCTGATTTCAGCAGTGCCTCTGATTTTGGTCTCGGTTACAGAAACAAAGAGAAGGTCAGAGGTGTGAATAACGGACGCTGCAGGTGACAGATGGTCACAAAGCAGGAAGGAGGTCGGCCAAGGACAGGAAGTAAGAGACAAATGAGGAGGACACAGGAAGTTAGAAAGTTAGAAAACAACAGAGTGAGGAAAGGAGGAGGAGAAGGAGCATGAGTCTTTAACATCACGTCAGAGGATCCAAGGAACCAGGAACGCCACATGAGCAGCAAGCAGCTGATCTGATTGGCTCTCTGTGCACCTGAGTGTCCTATAGGCTGGAAACAAAGATCTTCTGGTGATGATGTCATTTGCAATAAAAGTCGGTGCAGTGGTGATCATGGAGTGAAGTCGTTTTCAGACGTGAGCTCCAGGTAGAATCCAGAGACTCGTCTCCAGAGTTCATGTTTCACAGCTGAACAACTCAGCAGAAGGTTTTCTGCTCAGACTCGTTCACAACAGAATCAAATCCTCCTCGTTCTTTTCTTTTCGTTTAAGGAGTCGTCATGTCGTCCATCTTTATTTACAGTCTGATGTATGGTGATTGTTGTGGGTGCACTGAGTGTGTGTGTGATGATCATTAGTGAGTCAGGACTCTACCTGCTGTGTTGGTGGTGAGGGGTCGGGAGGAGGCGGTGTCGCTACGGCTCTCTGACAGGAAGTCATCGATGGAAGGACTCAGCAGGGGGCGACTCTCCTGCTGCTCGCTGACCAGCTGCAGAGAAACGAGGAGACATGTCTGAAACACTGAGGAGGAAGAAAACGATCATTGTCCTGAAGTAAAGTTCATCCTGATCCTGTTTCAATTTTAAAGAACAGCTAATAAAAAGAAAGAAATCTATTCAAACAAACCAAACGAGCAGACGCTTCAGTCACTGTGACTTTTTACTTATTACAGGATAAAGGATTCATCACAAACATGAATAATTATAAGAAGAAGAAGAAGACGCATGTCATCAGCTGCAGCTTGAAATCAGGCTCCAACTGTCTACAGTTTGTTTCAAAATAAAAGCAGCTGAATTGACTGTAATCAGCTCCTGTTCTTTCAAAGTAAAAGCAGCTGATTTGACAGTGAACTCAGTGATGAACAGATGGTTGTGACTCAATCACTGTGACACTGAAGGAAACTTAAAAAACATTGAGATTCTACATGAAGGTCTGCAGTAGAAGGAAAGTCTCTGACGACAAATATGAAACAGGATGTGAAAGAGTTCTGGGTCTGGAATCGATTTGATTCCAGGTTGAACCACCTGAAACTTGTCGACAGGAGTCTGAACCAAACCAACACAGAAGTCAAATGTCTCCGTTCACTCTGTTTTCATTCGTTGCATTAATTCACACCTGGCAGCCAGTCGGACACGCCCCCTAACAAAACCAAGTGAGAACAGAGGCCGACAGCGGTTGACCAATCAGAACAGAAGGGACCAGCTGATCTAACGGACTTTCTCCAGTTTGATTCTCACGTGAACGACACAGCAGCAGATTCAGGTGAGGAGCAGCAGACAGGAAGTAACGTTTGAATTCTGCTGCAGAGATCAGATGTTTGGTTTTCCAGTTGACATGTGGACATATACAATCTCCTGCTCTGATCTCACATCGACTCCTTTGGCCTTTCTATGGACTTTATACTCGGGGGGGTCTGACTAAGAAAGTCAGTAGAAACTCTAGAGGCTCGCAAACAAACACCTAGTGCAGAGGATCTCTGAGCTCAGTGCAGGTCTGAAAGCAGCTACCAACTATTTACTGCGAGTTAGACATCAAACTCCTGCTTGTGCAAATATATTGATTCATTAAAAAAATCTAAATATCAGGTGATTAGATTTAGGGCCAAGTGTTCAGGCTTTATAGCCCTCGAACACCCTCACTTCAAACTTTAAAAAAAAAAGGATTATCATGCAAAATAAAGATCGTTACCATGCTAACACTAGCACTAGCAATCTTTTTTTTACATGATAATCTCGTATATTCATATAAGTTCATATCCCACCCCCCTCTTTGAAAACACACGATGCTCTTAGTTGACCCAGCGTGTAGCAACGATGTTACTGAACTAAACTGCTGATGACACAGCGTCCTGCAGGTTTCATACAGAGCATGCTAGCAGCCGCTGCTTTGATTCAAACGTGAAATAATGACGAGCATCCGAGCTTTTGAACTTCAAATGTCATAGATTCACCTGCGTTAGCACAGACGTTACTTGGATATTAAAGGTTCGTCACTTTAGTAACTGCAAACAACAGCTTTGTTTTATTTAAGATCTCAACAACGTTATTACAATGACGTCTCGTCTGTTTACATCGACGACTGCTGATGATGTAACGGCTTCTTGAAGTGCTGTCCCAATTCATGGAGAAGATTTCGACCACTAACACTGTGACTCTGTTTCAAGGGGCAAGACAACCCTCGAAAACAAGGTGGGGGGTTAGGGTTAGGCAGAAGGGGTGGAATGGAATTGGGCCTATGACTCCTGCACAGTGGTGAGCACTAGAGCTGTGGACATTTCTTGATTCTTAGAAGCACCGCGACATGGACGACTCTGCATCCAGGCAGAGACAGGTCATAAAAACATGAATAATTATAACACCACTGCTTCAGCACAGACGCACATTAAAGATCCGGTAGTTACGTTCAGGACTGACGTTTACTTTGTGTTTGTTTGATTCTCTAGAGTTTATGAGACACAAGTTTAAAGCTGCTACACAACAAGAGAAGTGACACGACACACAGACAGGACGTCAGGGTTAAGACAGAATAAGCGACGCCCCATTTATCCAGGAACATTATGAATTCATCAGGTTTTTATAAAAATCAGTTCTACATGATTAGAAAACATCGGAGGAGCAGAGTCACTTGTTGACCTGCAGAGTAATGCACCTCAGTGCAGTGGCGCTGCCAAGGAGGACCAGAGGGACCAAAGGGGCCATCTTGATACAGTGAAGGATATAATCTGAGTTTGTCGTTTGAGATCTTAGGTGTAGCTCACAAGTCTAAACTGAATCAAATCCAATCAGTGTGTAGACCACCGTCATAGACTTACTGTTACTTGCTGATTTATGAATTGAAAACCTTATTTTGTAGATGATAGCACACTTGTTATAACAGTAACAGTCTATCGTACTTCTAAATAAAGAGGAAGTTCATATCTGACTGACTTTAATAACTAATATTGATGAACTGATGAAAACGCGCAGTCTTTTATTGTGGCTGTGATACATTGAATCAATGTTTCCTGTGTTGTAGTTGCTATGATGATAAACCTAGTTTATGTGAACTGTTGACTTTATAACAATTGCGTGAGTGTGATAAAATAAATTGTTAAGTAAGTCGGAGATGTTCTACCGTACACTACTTTTAGTTTTAAAACATTTTTTTCATAAATAATTATGAGAAGTGCCCTTTTTCTCACTTGAGCCCCTGCCCCCGAAATGTCTGTGCACATCCCTGCTGTGAAACATCAAAGGCAAAAAGCAGAATCATCCAATAAGACGCGGAGACAGTTTGAAGTGAGAACAAACACAAATAACGTTTAGACAATAAGCACCAACAACAGTCTCATTCAGATTCATGTTTTTACTCCAGAATATGAATTACTATTAATATTAGGATTTTAATACTCAATTTAAAAAATGATTTTAAGTTTCAGGAAAAACAAGAAGAAAAGAAAAATTAATCTCTGATAGTGCCAGATAACAAACAAGCGTGGTCGTCATGCCAACCTTGGTTGTCACGGTGAGGAGGGGGTTTCCTTCAGAGGAGGCCTTTTTACCAGGAAGCTCCTTCAGCACCATGGCAACGACCCTTTCACCTTTGCCCTACAACAGGTAGATCAACAGGTTGATTCAGACGCTGACAACTTCTTCTGGTTGTAATTCAGGTTCAGGGTCGTCTGACAGAAAACGTTTACGTGCGTTTCTGTCGAGACAAACACCTGAAACTGGATTGACTTTCACAGGTGACGTCAAGTTCACACGTTTAACGACCTCGCGAAAAATCAAGAACAAGTTTTCATCGTAAACATGTTTCTACAACGTGAACATGATGAATCCTGAGTCAGCTCTTCATTTCTCTATATAACACCAACGTTCTGGTATTATAGGGACGCTGTGACATTCACGTCCTTCACCGGGATCAAACCTGTGACGTCTAACAAACACACTTTCATCATTCCAGTCTCATCTGTCACGGGTTTAGCCGAGTTTAGCATAACACTGGAAACAACTAGCTGCTAGCCAGTGCTATGCTAGCATAAAAACAGCTACACTATCCAACAGTATCTTAGCATATACAAGGATGAAGATACAAGGAAACGATAATGACACAATGCTCCAGATCGAGAAATGATTCAGAAACAAACATCTGGATCCGAGGTAAGACCCAGATTCAAGGACACACATTCAAACACAGGTCAATGGTCCAGGTACAGAGGTAAAAAACACAAAAGGATCTAGATCCAGTCACAACATAGATACAAGGATCTAGATCCAGCCAGGACATAGATACAAAGATCTAGATCCAGTCACGACATAGATACAAGGATCTAGATCCAGTCACGACATAGATACAAGGATCTAGATCCAGTCACAACATAGATACAAAGATCTAGATCCAGCCAGGACATAGATACAAAGATCTAGATCCAGTCACGACATAGATACAAGGATCTAGATCCAGTCACAACATAGATACAAAGATCTAGATC